TTATCGAGCTGCAGTTTTTGCTTCCTTAAGTGGAAACAAAGACAAAAAAATCCAAACACGTGCCAGGATTATTACCTCAGCAACTGCAGCTCTCCTCAATCTTCTCGCAATCAACCTCTTGAAGTTCGCTTACAGCAAATTGGCCGTCTGGTTGACTGACTGGGAGAACCCACCTACGCGGACCGACTACGAAGACAGCTTTACTTGGAAAATGTACTTATTCCAATTTGTGAATACATATGCTTCAATCTTTTACATCGCCTTTTTCAAGTCAGGGCTGGTGGTTGGAACCCCTGGCAGGTACAAGCGCATAGGCGGTCGATTCCGATTGGATGGCTGCAGCGAACAAGGATGCTTCTTAGAGCTTTGTGTCCAGCTTCTCATCATCATGGTCGGGCAGCAGATTATTGGCAACGTCACTGAAGTTGTTATACCGTAAGTAACAAAATAGGTCGCTAAAAAACACCCAATAAATGAGTAACCTCTCTCTCAACGACCTGAGAATACGATATCACATCTAAAACTGTGTTCTTAAAGAGTTAGAGTTATGTTCACAACAATCTTGAAAAATGTAAAAATTTTGGTATTTTCTTCTTTTTCAAGTGGAAAACGTTACTGCACTCTGCCAGTATAGGTAATTTTGTGTTATCAGCTTCACATATTCTCTTGATTTTACAACAATTACTTTGACTTAGTTTTTTGCCTTGCTTACCAGCAGCTTTCAATTGCAATGCTTAGTGATAAGTTATCGTAATTTCTTCACAGATATGTCATGTACTGGTTGAAGAGGCGCAAAGAAACTGACAAAGACCAACCACAGTACCAGCTTGACTTTGATCTGAGTCCTCAAGGAGACCACTACATGTTTTGGGAGTATCTCGAAGTTGGTAAGCTGTAATATTTTTGTGATTCAGTGACAATTTTACATTGGAAGCTTCATCCGCCGTTCTACAATATATCGCAATTTGGATTGTTTTCTACAGACCTTACGTAATTCAACATTTCTTGAAAACCTCTTACAAACAAAAATTAGGCGATATATTTAAATTATTTATTAGTCCAAATTGTGTAACTCTATAAACTACGCGGTGCTTTGATCGAAATCAATCCTAGATCAACAGTGACTAAAAGGGAGGAACAGGTGAGCGTCATCAAGATTACGATATCTTTTTTTCTCTCAGCGAACACATTGAAAAGATGCCCATGTTCGGACACGTAACGTTCGTTCTATATACCGTCTAATATATACATGTTATTCGACTTGCAGTTTTACAGTATGGATTTGTGACCATGTTCGTGGCTGCATTCCCTCTTGGTCCTTTCTTTGCCCTCCTTACTGCTATAGCTGAAATCCGTGTAGACGCCATCAACTTTGTATCGCAGTTTAGGAGGCCAGACGCTGCACGTGCTGAAGATATCGGAGCCTGGTTCCGAATCCTTGAGGGTGTGACAAAAATTTCAGTCCTGGTAAATGCCTTTGTGCTGGCCTTTACATCAGAGTACATCCCAAAGCTTCTTTACAAAATGAAGTATGCTCCAGACCGCAACTCTACAGGAGGAGGTACCTTGGCTGGATACATAAACAACTCTTTGGCGTCTATTAATGTCTCCTACCTGTTCGAGCAAGAACCTGGAACAGAACCAGAAAATATTTATGAAAATCTTAATTATGAAAAAACCACTTGCAGGTAACTACGTTGTTTTAAATTTCCTAGTTTCCTTTTTTTTTTTTTCCTTTTTTTTTTTCGATTGCTGTTGTTTTTATGAATGATATCGAGGGGGTCCCATTTTTTCTTATATAATGCAAACGTATCTTTTTATCATTTTATGCAAAACTCGACGTGACATGTTGTGTTCTTGTGGTTACTGTAAGAGGACTGGGTTCTAGCCTGGGTGAATCATCGACGTACTATTTCAAAAACGAGTGCGAGGGTTTCATCAGGGTTTCCAAACACGAGAAAACTGATGAAACTGATGATGCTTTTATTGTTTTCGAGTGTTTGGGAACCCTGATAAAACCCGATGCACGAGTTTTTGATATAGCTTCTTAATTGTGCCTCAGGAAAAAAAGAAAATGGACATATTCACGAACATGTTGTCGGCAAGTTTGTTGTTACGAAAAATTATATTGTTATGGTGATTTGTCTGTGAACAATGTGATCACAAGGTTGTTTGTTCATGTTGGTGTCTTTGTTTTAAGTATTCAAATACGCTTTATTAATATTCATATTAAGAAATGAGTTCACTAGAGTTTGATGCTTTATCAAACTCAAGGGTTTGATGTTATATGAAACTCAAGAATAGCGCGTCATTTCAGTGTTTCACCGGAATGCACGTGACGAAATTGGCGTATCTTAATGAGTTTGAGAACGGGTTTTCAAGTTCTTCCAGATATTACATCACATTGCCTATCTACGACTTAAGTGATTCTTTATTTCTATGTCTTAGATATCATGGCTATTTTGCATCGACTCCACCTTACAAACAGAACAAGCAATACTGGCACGTGATAGCTGCGCGCCTCGCTTTCGTGTTTGTGTTCCAGTTCTCTGTGTACCTCATCACAAGTTTCATCGCCTACATGGTACCTGATGTTCCAAAGGATCTGGATTTGAAGGCCAAACGAGAACAGCATTTGACGAAGTTGGCGTTTAGAAAGAAGTATGATATTGATGAAAGCAATGGTGACCATCACGTACCCCTGGATAATGAGATGCTGTAATGAGATCAATATTTGATATAATTTCAAAACAAGTGTAGAATTAAACTACATAACTGACCATTACGAGCCACAAATATAAAAGGGAAATTTCAGATCTTAAAAAATTATTCTTTCAGCTAAATGAGGAATACACGAAAATTTTTCGCATTGTCGCCATTTCAAATGCCCATCTTTTCAATTGTTTCCAAGGGCTTTAAATTTTTCTACGTAGTTAAACCTTTTCATATTAGTTGGCTCATAGCTTAGAGAAAATTTACTTGCGTGCAATGTGTTCTGAACATGTAGGAATATCTTGTACTTTACAATTTCCTTTTGGTAAAAGGTTGAATTATTTTTATATAATAAGCAATTTTCGCGGTTTTGACCCTTCTAAATTTTGAGACGTAAGAATGTTCATTTCATGTTCTATTGTATTTCAGAGCAAGTACCATATCTCAAACTAATTCGATATTTTCGAATCTTGCATTTATATTTTGGCTCTCCGTGCTGATTATTCCCAGTAGTTTTAACGTGCCCAACTCCCTGTTATATAAACAGTGGTTTAGTTGAGAAACCGTTACTGATAACCTTAATCTAGAAAAGTGTTTGATTATTTCGCTTGGTGCTCTAGAGTTAAATGTTAAGAACGAAAAGCATCATTGGTTGTAAAGTGTTTTTTTTTCTCTGTAAAAGACCCAGCGTGAGATTGCAATAAACTACAATTGAATCTTCAATTCATCGCCTGCAAAGTTACAAATGATCATTTTCATCTAAGATGAGAATTAAAAAACCCTTAGGGTTTGTGATAGCGTTCTCGATAATTGCTTCATTTTCTCCCTTTTAAGTTGACAGAGAGCTTTGTCACAGGATACTCTCACAAGCAGCCTCTGATTCTCACACATAAGTTCGAGGAAAACCTTTGAAATGAAATTTCCTATATTATTGCGGACATTTTAAATCTCTCCGTCCCAAAAGGATTAGACAACGGTAAAGCTGTCCCTATTTATCAGACCTCTTATCACAGGTAATAAAAGTATCGTTCAACTGCAGGGTGAAAAGAAACATAATTATTAATTTCCTAAGGGAATAACAGCATTATTTCTTTATCTTTTGTCTTCCAGTTCGAATTCCTTTTCATAAACCTGAAATGGGTTTACAATGCACAAAGCCTCCGCACAAAATAACCGATGGTAGCCTGAAGAAATTCAGTTCTCTTGAAAATAAGGGTCCTCAGTCAAGCCAATGGACACCGCTGGATACAAATGTCATTTAGAAGTTTTTTACCTGTGATGATATCAATCGTATGTGATGCAGAACACCAGAGGATAACAATTACAACCTTTTGAAAAAATTTCGGCAAAACTCTGTCTGAAGTTATTATTTGCCATGCCACAATAGGTATCATCCTTTATCATAATTTTATCATAACGGTGTACCTAAAATGTTTTACTCTAGTGTTTACCAATCATTCATATGGTTTATCATTTACTCCATTTGTACGTACCAGTTGGTCATTTAAACCGCCAACGCCCTCCTTATTATACCAGGTGTTCTATATCCACGTTTTTGTTCAGTTTTGCTGGTGGAATTATGAGTCAACTTGTTTTGTTTCGTCACCCCCTGGAGCGCTCGCTTCATTCTCAGCTACAGGTGTTTTTTCTGAATACTCCCCAGCCCAAAACGTAATAATGACTCACATGATAATTTAAAAAAAAAGTACCACTATGTTCCTTGAAAAGGTTATCTTCCTCATTGCATATCATCTATGTTTAACCTTCATGTTTTCGAGCATGAAGAGTTTTCTCTACACCAAAAACATTGGAAAACATCCAAATATAGCGAGCCAGTAAAAACCATTTAAAGGACGAAAATTTGCCAAGCTCCTGTCAAAATTTTGACCGCTTTGAAAGCGATTTGTTTCTATTTAACATACTTCGCTATGACCGATAGTTACTTAGTCGAAATATTGCTCCTGCAGTATAATTACTTTACTTTCGCATGAGATGATGAATCGGACTGTTGTCACAAAGCCGCTTTACGATAATTGAGCAGACATTTCCATTAACTACAAGTACAGAAGCATCACTTCTAGTAATAAATTATTAATGCTGTCATGGGCCCCTGTGTTTCCAAAATATCATAAAAGCAGCTTGAATTAATAATAACGGCGCGAGTTTTTCAACGCTGATTCGCATTTCGAAGCCATTCTTTTGAAATTTTCGCCTGCTTTAAAAGGACATTGAACCTAACACATCCTGCCAACGTATTTCTCAAACAAGAATTCCTTAATTTAATCGCATCTGTCATCACCTGGCCACCGTTGCAAAGCTGGAAATATAAAATTGATATGGAAAGGGGATCCTATGCGAGATTGGACCGAATCGATAACATCCAGATAGAGTTGAATGAAAAATCGCAAGTATCCCTTGAAGACGATCCAAGCGAACTACACAAGAGAAATAAAACCTACGAAAAGCATGTTGATTACGTTTTGGTTTACGAAACTCCAAAGGATGTCAGTGGAATGGATGATGATGCTCTCGCAAAACAAAGGAAACTTGTTGCATGGCGATATTCATTTGAAAAATGCCTTGAAAATAAACTAGGGTTAGATCTGCAGCGTAAGACTGTGATCATCGGGGAGGTAAATAATTATAGATTAGAAATTCTATTATTGCTATTTAATTTTATCACATTCAATGTTTATTTAGAGGCTTATAAGGCCATGTTTTAATTTGCATTATTCGCAGAGCTTTTCAGTAAATTTTCATTCTCCAAGTTTTCATAGCTAACAATAGCCGCCTAGAATTTTATCGATCTTTTAACATTCTTTAATCTGATTTATAAACTCAAACGAATAGGAGAATCTCAATATTAATTGCAGGGTAATGGTTGAAAGTACTCACTAAAGCCTTGAATAAAAATATTTACCCTGTAAAGCTTTGCGGTAAAAGTACCATCGCCTCGACACGCTAAGAGTAGGAACTACTTACGTTAGCTACATGAAAAGTAACCATCTGTGTGAATTACGTTGCCGTTAGAAGAGACTCTGTCGGGGGAAGGGACAGCGATGAAATGTTTTATAATACAGCCGCACATTCTCTCCTTTTCCAGTTTAAATTCGATTAGCTCTTGTTTATATCATCAATGTTCATGTAAAATTTTGAATTTACTTTTCATGCATTATGCAGGATCCAGAAATAGAACGTACTTTTGTGCTGATCCATGCGCCTTGGAATGTGTTGGCACAGAGTGCTGAGCGGATGAGATTAAAGGTTCCTCTTCGACCCAATGACGCGGTATTTTCTTCATGGATAGAGAATACAATTGGTCACAAATTGTTCGAAAAGTTGCAGAGCAAAAATCCTTTTGTCCTTCATGATTCCACCCTAGGCGAAAAGCCGAGCTTTTACATGGCTCCCTTTCTAGAAGATCACTTGAGCGAGTATGTGAACAACGAGGACAAAGAGAGCTTTTTTAAAGTCTTGGATCGCCACTACATCGTCCAACACTTGCTTCAAAATGCTCGGTTTGCGAGAGGACCGGACGGGGTCGGGCTACAAAGGCTTCTTCTGGATCAGGCTTACCTCGCTGCGTATTCACTTCATGATGGCCCAGATTCGCAGGAAGAAGGAGAAGCTGCAACAAATGATCGACAGAAGCTGAAAGCAGACTGGGCAAGATTTGGCAGATTCTTCAAGCATCAACCTTATGATGCCATCAAGGATTACTTCGGACACGAAGTCGGCCTCTATTTTGCCTGGCTCGGATTTTACACCGCCATGTTGTTTCCTCTTGCCATTGTTGGCTTGCTGGTATTCATCGCTGGTGTTATTTCAGCAGGCTCCTACATCCCTGTTCAAGATCTTTGCGACGAGAAAAACAGAGGTCGTTGGTATATGTGTCCATTGTGTGACAAACAGTGCAGCTTTTGGAATCTAGCTCCCGACGTCTGCATGTATGCTTACACAACGCATCTGCTTGACAACGATGGAACTGTGTTCCTTGCTTTTGTTGTGGCCATCTGGGCCACGCTATTCCTTGAGTTTTGGAAACGTCGCCAAGCATCCCTCGCTCAAGAATGGCACACCTCTGAGTTTGAGGAAGAAGAAGAACAATTTCGTCCTGAATACAGGAAAAGTTTACCAAAAGAACAGTTGCAAATGTTTCTCTTTAAACGTAACCCAGAGACCGGAAAAATAGAACCTTTAGTTTCCAAGGTTAAGACGTACCGAAGATATGGCACAGTCTTTGCTGTGGTAGCTTTCATGATTCTTCTAGTTCTTGGAGCTGCAGTTGGCGTAGTGGTATACCGTGCCGCCATGTTTGCTGTACTGAGTGGTAGCAGGGACAACAATGTTCAAAAACGTGCTCGTATCATCACGGCGGCAACGGCTGCGCTTATCAATCTTGTTTTTATAATGTTTTTGTCCAAAGTGTACGAGAAGCTGGCAATTTGGCTAACTGACTGGGAAAACCCACCCACAGAAAGCGCTTACAAGGACAGTTTCACATGGAAAATGTCTTCTTTCCAGTTCGTCAACAACTATTCAGCCTTATTTTATATTGCTTTCTTTAAATCAAACCTTATTGTGGGATCTCCTGGAAAATACAGGAGGCTGATGAGCAAGTATCGATTAGACGGCTGTAGCGAGCAGGGATGCTTTTTGGAACTTGCTGTTCAACTTTTTATAATCATGGTGGGAAAGCAGATTTTCTTCAATATATTTGAAATGGCGATGCCGTAAGTACCAAGGACGTTCTTTTAGAGAGCTTGAATCTTTTCGGAATTTGTTTATTTCTTTCGTTAGCACAGTTTCAAACCTAACGGCCTATTCTAAGTGCGCATGCTCTCATTTGGTTTTAGATATTTGAGTCTGTTGAAGAATCGGCGTAGCAAAGAGAATCCAGATGACTGTCCTCAGTACGAAAGCGACTACGATCTAACTGCATGTGAAAAGCATTACATGTTCTGGGAGTACTTAGAAATTGGTAAGAATTTTAAATATTGTGGAAATTGATATCTTTTCAATTCAACTGAATTTTCAAAAGCCGTTGTAAGGCCAAGTTCATGATTGCTAAGCAAGTGAAGCAAATTTGTAACTCAAATGGAACATTGAAAAATTCAAATCATGAGAATAATAATAATAATAATGATGATGATGATGATGATCATAGTCATAATAACGATGACAATAGATATATATATTGCATAATAAATTGATGTGTATTTGAATATAATATTCGGTCTTTCTCTCGTTGGTAGACTTGCGCATCGTGATTCGCTAATATCGACACCAACTTTACTGTTACAGTCTAAAGATCCATTTCAGAAATTTTTTTCCCATTTACAGCTACTTGGTGGAGACCTCGTGTAGCCGCTTCTGTAAGAAGCCCTGTTATCTCAAGATAACATAGAACTAGTCTATAAAATGCATTTTGGCCTCTGCTGATACATCTAGATTGTATGCTCACTGAGGCAAAGGGTGGCAATCTCAGAATTGAATCATTCTTGACTAATTTCAGTTTTACAGTATGGCTTTGTGACCATGTTTGTGGCTGCGTTCCCACTCGGCCCGTTGTTTGCCTTTATCAACACCATCATTGAGATCCGTCTGGACGCTATCAAGTTCTTGTGCCACTTTCGCCGACCGGATGTTGCCCGTGTTGAGGACATAGGGGCCTGGTACGACGTCCTGGAAGCTGTGACAAGAGCTTCAGTGCTGGTGAATGCGTTCATACTCGCGTTCACTTCAGAGTTTATCCCGAAACTCCTTTACAAAGTCATGTACGCTCCTGATCGTCATTCCTCAGGTGGAGGCACTCTGAAGGGATACGTTAATTTTACACTAGCTGCCATTGATTTGGATACCCTCTACTCATGGGAAAATGGAACCCAGCCAGACAACCCGACAGAAAATCTAAACTACACAAGAAGTCATTGCAGGTAGTTAAATAGCTTTCATCGCAATAGCAATAGAGTGTTTAGAGTGGTAGGTGGTTCATGGTAACTCAGGGTAGCTTCATTTGGAGCTGCTGTCTTTCTGAAATGAAATCTGTCTTAGAAATGACCGATCTAACCTAGATTAATTGCTGTTTTCAGCTTCCTTCCGCTCCTCAAGATGTACAATAGTCTTGGGGCAGATGTTTACCCTACAGTATTTGCCATACACACAAAGAAAACATTCGTTTCATGTTCTGTTTCCTCTGTGAATAGATACCCTGGATACCATGATAGCACTTACCCGTATGGCTTCTCCAAAGCATACTGGCACCTCCTAACTGCTCGGTTGGCCTTTGTGTTCGTATTTCAGTTTGTAGTTTACACTGTGACAGGATTTATTGCTTGGTTGGTGCCTGACAAGCCTGATGAGCTGCAGTTTATTATGGAAAGAGAAAGAGAAATGGTCAAGACAGTGTTCTATACTCCTGAATACGACAGTGACATCGAGGAACTTAAGGAAGAAGAGGATGATAACGTAACACAGTATGAGGATGCCCTGGATGAAATCAACGTTGAAAGCAAAAAATTTGATCAAACACACGAGTCTTAACCCTAATTACCTTAGGTGTGATACACATGCAACTTCTTACCCCAATTTCAATTCATTATTTACATCAAAAAGACGATAAAAATTTAGAAAATTATCAGTAAGAACTTCAATGCTTAAAATTGCTTTTTTTTTTGGGGGGGGGGGGGAGGGAGGGAGGGGGAATCTACGCCCAGGCTTTTAAACAGCAAAACCACGTATAGTATTTACGCCCAGGCTTTTAAACAGCAAAACTACGTATATTATTGTGAGATACAGTGAGACTGGTTGATTCTGTTATTGCGGTCCACTGCCGCTGACAAGTCCCATAAGCTAGAAAACAAGTTATCATAAGAGGAAAAGCGTCTATAAATACATGGAAAGTAAATTCGTCACTAAGAGTCTTTCATAATGTTTCAGGAGTAAAATTTCTCCATCAAGCTACCAGGACCTTCGGGGCGTGCATGAAAAAGTATGACGCGCGTATTTCTATTGATTTTTTGCCATCATCTAATCAATATTGCGATGCATTTGGTTTATCATTAATTGTAAAACGTCCTCTCTACGTGGTGTTGAGTTCAGTAATCATTAGCATTACAGCATTAAAGATCTCTAAAATTAAAGTGTCTCCCATCATCAAGTCACACCTTGAATTTCTCCAGGCCAAAACACTGCCATATACCAGATGAGGCATGCTGGTTTTAAAAAATGATCGGTGTTAAGTCTACACTGTCATCCTTAAAAGCTTTTGGAGGTTGCTCTGGAATCAAAAGCTGAGTGTGAGAATTTCCTCTCCAGCTCAAGATATTTTGGTCAGCACCCTGTCTTTATCCTGATACAATTCTTGTGGTTAGCGAAAAATAAACTTTTTCATTTCGACCTGTGATTTGAGTTATTAGTTGATCAACTTCTCCGAGCCAGTGTAAGGACGCGCAGAGTTTGGGACAAATAACCAGGCCATGGAGGAGAGTACCATCATATTATAACCAGAAGGGTTCGGTAGCCGCCCTTTAATTGAGATCGTAGTCTTTACTTTTAAGTTATTTTAGTTCTATAACTTTCACTCCTGCGGTTTTCATATGTCAGCGCCGGGCAGAAATATGACTGTGTGTATTAACCACCCGCCTGGGTGGCGGGTGCCATAGTCACGATGCACCAGGAGGAAAGGATCACAGAACTCTGGGAGAAAGGTTAGCTGTGTAGCCATGTTATTCTTTTTGGGGAACACAAATGAGGAAATGGCATTTTGTTAAACGAAAGGAAGGCGAGGAACGAGGGAATCAAGAGATAAGGAGCCATTAGCTTAACTAAAGAACACGTTTGCGTTTTGGAAAAATGGTTTCCTTTCTAAATGATGACAAATTGTCAAAACCCCACCTGCAAACAATTTATACTTATATTTAGGCAGGCAGACAGAAATTACAAACATTTATGCTTGCTGAAGACGAGAAATTTACAGAGATCCAATGAAATAACACACAGGCGTTAAAAGTCAGCTCTTGGGATTAGTTGTTGATTGGAGGTGTATGAAGGGGCGGAAGATCTTGAACAATAGTATGCGTACGGGCGTTATTTTTCTCTATGCTTCTCTCCTCGAACGTGACTAACACTTCGCGCTCGCCTCGCGTTCGCCTCCGTTCGCCTGAAAAACGTGAAAAAAATTACGCCTGTTATGCTGGCTGGGCCTTAATATAAGTCTTATCAAAACATTAACTTCAGTTACGCTTTCTCAAACGGAACTGCTGCTTGTTGCCATATTAAGGCCATCACTTAAAGACAATTTTTATTAATGAAATGAATTTCATTTCTAAGGCCTTGGTGGGGAGGGTTAAGTTATGCAGGGGAGGGGGGGAGGGTTGGGAGGTAGCTTGCACAGTCATACTGTTACACGCTTGTTGTTGGATGAAGATTTTTTCAAAGTGGTAGCTCGGATATATAAACTTTAGGTTCTTACTCATCGTGAACTGGATAAATTATTTGCCTTAATTGAGATTGAAATTTGGGTGAACTCTACTCCGCGAGAGAAACGGGAGTAGGAATAACTCGTGAGCGGAAAGCCAGTTCTGTCAGCTTAACGCCTCACGGAGGTTGACATTTGTCTTTAAATGGAGACATACTAAGAAATTATTTTTTTGAGAGGGCACGGTAACGAATCCTGCAATCTGATTGGTTCTTTACCCGGTCAGTATTTTCCTATCTCTCCTCACGGGCCACGGTAACGCTTCCGTGAGTCGCCGAGTACATCCCAACTTTCGTTGCCATTTTTCATAAATATATCTCGTTTTTCCGGCTGGGGAGTATTTTTAAGCAAATACGTCGGTCACTACCTCAAGCCGATAAATAACTTATGAATCCTCTCTTTCCTCTCTCTGAAATCACTTAAAACGTGAAGTATTTGGTTACAGTTAAACTGAACGATGGAACTTTCATTCATTTAACATCTGAATTTTCTCAAACAATTTGTTCGTAGTGAAAGAGCGAGCGACGTTTTAATTTAAGTTCTACAACAAATATACGCTCTCGGTGAGTCTTTCCAAGTCCGTTCAATTTGGACATTTGTACTGTAAATTGCACAACAGAAACTGAAGGAAAATTAATGAGAAAAGGCCGCTTGAATCCCCGTGTGTTTCATCGGAGGGTGCCATTCGAATTTAGAAAGACCAGATTTACACACGCCATTGCAGCAAACAAACGAACAAACTCTCACAACTTCAAAATAAAAAATTTGAATTTACTCACAATTACTTTCCTCGCCGTTTACTTGAAATGAACAGAGGTAAATCTTCGTACATGAATGAATCGTCGATGACAGAGAATAATACTTTCCGTTAGATCATTGACTGTTTTTGAAGAAAACATTGTCGTGACAGTCCTTGCCAAACTAGTTCCGTTGTTTTTCAAAGGTTCTTGCGCTTTCTTTTTTCTTACGCGCTCCCTAATTGGCAGGTGTCAGATTGTGACAGATACTTGTAAAAAAAGATGTTTCAAAGTTTGTTTGGAAGCCTTTTAAATCACCTTCATCGTTACGGAAATGAAAATGTTTCGGTGAGGCATCTCTATTTAATTTGTATCACCTCTATTTTAACTACCATTTACTCGCTCAAAAATTGTTCAGTTTATGGAAGATCTTACCGTATTTACAGCCCTAAATCATTCGAGTTCTTTCGGAAAGAATTTCGTCAAGTTTAAAAAAAATAAATATGTTTGTAAGATCCAAGTGTAACATTTTTTCTATTATTCGTTCTTGCGTAATTTGTTTTTCCTTTGCGTACGCAAATTAGTTTATACTTCTTTTCGTCCATTTGTTTAGTCTTTTTTTTTGGCGTTAATTTAGGTGTTTATTCCTTTCGGTCAGTTTTCGCGCCCTCGTTAGCGTTTCTGTGCAGTTTCATCTTCATTAGCGCTTTTCTAAGTTTCTATAGTTTTATTTTCCGCATGTTCTAGCGTATTTTTCATATCGTAGTTTTGCAGTACAGTTTGGGCAGTTCATTTTGGTCCGCGCTTAGCGCAGTTCTGTTTAGTTTCTTGCAAGTCTCTTCGCGTTATTTGCAGTCCGCTTTACAGCAGTTTTCTCTGGCCGAAACAATTTTCAATCCACGCTGTTTGTATGCACACTCTTAGTACCAAGCACGTCGGCTACAATAAATCTTCATTCGAATTTGGTTTGTGGTGTTGTTATTAAAGGCCAGGAGACTTACACGCTTATTGCAGTTTCAATGTTATTTACCGGCTAAGGGTCGGTCTGTATGGTGAAAAATTGTGACTCAGGCAGTATTTTCAAGACCTTGGTCGCAGTTTTTCACCATACGGACCTCCCAGCCGGCAAATAATATGTATTTGCGCAGGAGCTTTGATTTGATATTTACTGACCAAGATAAGCTCGACGGAATAAAACATCACCACAAATTTTAGAATTGCCTTGATCACCCAGATTTCTGCTTGGGCGAGTGGAAGATAGGGAGCTTAAAATATGTCTGTGCTTCATTTTCACAGTTTCATTTCAGCTAGTGCTTAGCTCTATGGCTGAATTTACATTGTTTTAAATAAAGAAATTTAGGAAGGCAAATATATTAGGACTTTAATTTTGTATTAATTCACTGGCTAAGGCTCTCGTTCGTGGGACGTAACCCAAAACACAAGCTCCTTTTCGTTAGCAGCTATTTATAACGTGCTGGGAAATAAAAGAAGCCGGTTCGTTCAACTCCGTTCATGATGGAGGTTGACTCTTTTGAGAAAAAAATCTAATAAATGACTAGCAAGTACAGTGAATTTAAATTAGATACCGTTGCCGAAGAGAAGCGCCTCCAATTAAACACATTAGTTAAAAAGCGTCGTTCTCGATCTTGAATTGACAGCGTTAGAAAATTCGGAAGCTCCTGTGAAGATTTTACCAATGTTTTTAATTTAGTTCAGGTTTTCTTATCAAAATGCGTAAGTAAGTCCTGCAGTTGCATTGTTATGCTCATTTGAGTAGACTTTGTCCTCGAGTGAACTCCAGAAATATCGAGTAAGGCACGTAGCATTGTTTTCAAAGAATAGTATAGTGCCTCAAGGGAAAGTGATTTAGTGGTTTTGAACACTTTTCGAGTCTCGAAGTGCTACTTGAGTTCAGTTTGCTTTCAACAAGCCGAACATGAGTAAAACACAATTATCAAGACTTTTGGACGAAGAAGAGTATGAAACTGTTTCAGAAAATTTTATCACGGATGATAACGAAGGAGTTTATTTGAGCAGTAGTGAGCCGAGGCGAAGAATTGATTACGTGTTGGTGTTTGAAACTTGTGAAGAAAATGAAGAAGCAAGTGAACAATCTGCGGCTGCCACTCTTAAACTGACGACTCAAAGAACATATTTCGAAAACCAGCTCGAAAGACGAGGATTAATCCTTCAGCGACAGACACGCGCGATTCAACAGGTAAGACCGCTTTTTGATCTGTTTAGTAAATAGAAAACTAGCCAAGCGTTACGGTTAACGCTGCACGCTTTGCCACTTATAAAAAGTAAACCAAAAGCCGACTAGCTAGTGCATTTCTGACTTTCAATCAGAGCCTCATTATTAATTCAAACAGTGGTAACAATTAACAGTAAGAAGAATTGTTTTCTATTTTTGTGAGGTTTGATGTTAATTCTCAATTAAATTTTGCTCGTGTTTTATTAAAATTTTTTTATGGATATGAAAGTGACTTGGACGATAAGAGATGACACATCGATTACTATGCAAATATGAGCAAATTTCATGGCCTAGTAAGTACGCATCTAGGAAATAATTTGGTTTTAAAGGAGAGAAGCGTTTCGCAACATTTGGTTGTTTGCGCAAATCTTGATTAAGAAGGTCAGAGTCCACTTTCCTCGGCTTAACTTTTGTTTCAAAGTTATTTTCGTGCAAAAAGTTTTGGAAAGGGAAATTGCATTTATTATGAACTTTCCGTCACATTTCAATAAAAAAAAAAGTTTCCGTTACATATTTAATCTTATCTTTTTTTTCTCTTCTAGAAGGATACTGAGGTTTTGAGGCATTTTGTCTTGGTTCACGTTCCCTTGGAAGTTCTCGCTGAAAGAGCCGAGTCTGCAAAACTGAAGGTTCCCTTTCTGGTTAACGACACCACTTTTACTTCTTGGATGGAGTACTTGCTGGGATCAACTGTAGTTACGGCCATTAACAGGAGAAACCCTTTTAAGATTCGTGATGCATCTATTGAGAAAAATACGGATTACTTCATGGGCCAATTCAAAAGAGATCATCTTTCCAAGTATGTCTTTGATCAGAATGTCGGTGAAAATTCGCTTTTTCCAGTCACTGATCGCCAACATCTTCTGCAGCAAATCCTTCACAGCACTCCATTCTCAGATCAACCGGATGACGTGGGTCTCTCGAAGCTTCTTTATGATGGTGTATATCTGGCATGTTATCCTTTGCATGAAGGAACACATCGATTAGAAAGTGGCGAGTCTCCAAAAAACAAACGCCAGCAATTGAAGAGAGACTGGGCAAGATTTGGCAGAATTTTCAAATACCAGCCGTACGACGCCATCAAGGAATACTTTGGCCATGAAATCGGCTTGTACTTCGCCTGGCTTGGATTTTACACTGGCATGCTGGTTCCACTTACAATGATTTCTTTGATCGTCTTTCTTTATGGCATCATATCAACTGGTTCTCATATTCCAGTACATGACATGTGCAACGAAGACAACAGGGGTCGATGGTACATGTGCCCATTGTGCGATCGACAGTGTAGCTATTGGAATTTAGCTCCAGACACATGTATTTACGCCAAATTAACGCATTATTTTGACAATAATGGAACTGTGGCTTTGGCTTTCATCGCATCCATATGGGCGTCACTTTTTCTTGAATTCTGGAAACGTCGTCAAGCTGTCCTCGCCCAAAAGTGGCACACATCAGAGTTTGAAGAAGAGGAAGAAGAATTTCGCCCAGAGTACTTAGCAAGCCTGACTGAGGAAGAGCTTAATCCTTACAAACCTGACCCGTTAACCGGAAAAATCGGCCCAAATGTTTTCAAAATCAAGAAGTTTCGACGATTGGGTTTTGCGTGCAACGTCATTGCCTTCATGATCCTTCTTGTGATTGCAGCAATGATAGGTGTGGTTGTGTACCGTGCAGCAGTTTTCGCAGTTTTCAGCAGCAGTTCTGACAAGAAAATTGAGCAGGGGGCCCGGATCCTAACAACAGCTACAGCAGGCTTGCTTAACCTGATAGCAATCACGATTTTAAAGTTGGTCTACAACAAACTGGCTGTCTTTCTGACAGACTGGGAGAACCATCCCACTAAAACAGCTTATAAAGATAGCTTCATCCGCAAGATGGCCCTGTTCCAATTTTTCAACAACTATACTTCTATATTCTACATCGCTTTCTTCAAGTCAGAAATGATTGTTGGGACTCCAGGCAGGTACAGAAGAGTGCTGGGTAAATATAGACTGGATGGGTGTAGCGAGCAAGGATGCTTTCTGGAGCTGGCCATTCAGATTGCCATCATTATGGTTGGACAACAAATTTTCTACAACATCACAGAAATTGGAATTCCGTGAGTACTTTCATATGATTTGTTTTGTTGAAGGAAAAGTAGTTAAATGAGCTTTTGGGTCAACAACAACAACAACAACAACAAGAAAAAAACAGAGGTTGTGGTTGATGTGCCCTATGGATTTTGCCGCCATCACTGATGTTGTTGTTGTTTTTTTGTTTACTTTTTTGTTTGTTCTCTTGGTCGGCGTGTCAGTCACATTTTTCGGTTGGAGTTTCATCTATCTGAAAGAGAAGACATAAATTTGCGGTCTGTTGGTTCTATATTTTGCATCGTGTCTAGTCAAGTTTTTTAAAACGCCAGGAGGATATTGCACCAACAAAAGTTACTCATACACTTAATGATGTAATTTGTTATTCTTTCCATGGTATCTAATAGGCTGAAAGAGAAAATATTTACTTATAGTACAGCTTAGGAGCGCAAGCAGAAGTACAAATGGTCTCAATATTTTGAGGACACCCTTCTGGCGTATGTACGCCGCAAAGTTCGTGACTTTTTGACCAGTTGAGCAGCGCAATCATTAACGGAGATCCGTTTATTTCTTCAGGTACATAATGTTGTTATGGAAAAGGCGAGGCCAGGAGAAGGTTGGTGACCGACCACAGTATGAGCAGGATTTTGATTTGAGTCCATTGGAGGAGCACTTCATGTTCTGGGAATACCTTGAAATGGGTGAGTCTCGACAATATATCGGAGAAGCGTGTTTAAAAACTTCATTTTAATCACTCATGTCATTTTTACCTTCAGTTCTGCAGTACGGCTTTATAACCATGTTTGTGGCTGCATTTCCTCTTGGCCCATTGTTTGCACTTTTAAATGTAATCGTAGAGATTCGCTTGGATGCCATTAACTTTTTGTGCCACTTCCGCCGTCCTGATGCCGTCCGAGCTGAAGACATAGGAGCCTGGTACACTGTATTGGAAACCATCACTAAGATTTCCGTGTTGGTGAACGCCTTTGTGTTGGCTTTTACCTCCGAATTTATTCCCAAGCTCGTCTACAAGATGGTTTACTCGGGACGAAATGGCGATCCCTCGAGTAAAGGGACACTCATAGGATACGTCAATAACAGTCTCGCATCCATTGACCTAAAGACGCTCTTCACATGGGAAAATGGCACGCAACCAATCAATCCCACACAAAATCTCAATTACGCGCGGGACTACTGCAGGTAAGTTCGTCAGAGGAGATGGTCTCTAAAGGACCAACATGCTTTTCCAAGGCTCAATCAATTAATATCGAGGTTTAGTCGCAACACAATGGAGGTATAACAATTCATGAGAGATAATATCAGAATGAGGCTACATAAGTCTTAAGAGATATCTCACCCAGTTTTCTACTTTCTTTGTACCGTCTAAGAAGCTCGAGAAAAACAGCATCCCTACAGTAACACGAAACACTAGTCACTTCCCATCAACCTAAGCTTCTCTAGGATTGGGGGGGGGGGGGGGGGGTCCTGGGGGCCCGTGACACCCTCTTTATTATGCATAACGCACAAACACCGCGTAAAGGTCGACAATGACGATCTGGTGAGTACCCTCTGTATGACTAATTATGACCCTCCTTGTGAAAAATCCAGGCTACGGCCCTGGTGCTATTCGTATTTCAATCTTTTCTGCTCCTGGGTACATAATTGTGGGTGGTTAGGGTTATAACTTTCTTTGCTTTTTTATGACATTGTGTTAAGCTGCCTTGTTTGCATTTCATTTAGGTATAAAGGTTACCATGACAACTTTTACCCGTACAAGCGCTCCAGTGAGTACTGGAACATTCTTGCTGCTCGACTCGCTTTCGTGTTTGTTTTCCAGTTAACTGTGTATTTCATAACAACATTCATCGCATGGATCATTCCCGACATACCTGAAGAATTGGAATACAAGAAGAAGCGAGAGAAAGAGCTGGAAAAAGCAATTATCCATGATCACGTTAACTCGAACTTCTAATATTCTCGTAATTCGCCTTCGTCGCTTTCTAAAGTAAAGGATGAGTTATCATCACAAGAAAAACAACAATTACAATCTTTGTTGCTTAATATTTTAGAAATTATACGACAATTTTCAAATAAATGAGCCAAAAGGCCTATGAATGAATTGTTCATAGACTGATTATTTACAAATAGAGAGAGTACAGCCACTTCAAAAAGCGAATGCTTAAGTTCAGCTAAGTGCCTCATCGTTGCGGTTAAAAGAATATTTGAAAAACGTGAAATAAATGTGATATCTTATCTTACAGTTATCGTTTCACTGCATTAAAAAGTGAGGACCTATTGCGTTCTGACCTGCAGTATTATGCAGTTTACTGATTTTTTGGGGGGGGAGGTATGTTAGTATCAGTCTGTCCCTTTGAGAAGAAACGTAGGTAGAGAAAATGTCGTGACTAGAATCTCACGCCTCACTAAGAATGATCAAGTTATAATGAATACTCTTCACATTTAATTGCGCCGGGAAAAACCGTGTTTTTCTACAAATCTTATTTTTGAACTGTGACCTGCTAGACAAAGAAAAACTTCTGCCCCTGGGGTTTTTTGTGATTAGCATGACTCAATCCCGCCAGAGCCTATATCGTACGTCCCTATCAGATGTTATGTTTGCTTCTTCATTTGAAGTGTCTTGCCAACTGCAAAATTCCAAAGAAAAGAAATCCTGGAACATCTAAGATGTGAACTCGGGACAGCAATGATCATCAAAGCTTTATTCCGTCGGATAAATAGACAAGTAAACTTTCAATGGGAGCCTCGTGGACACAGTCACCAAGGCAACATTACGCTTTCAGCAAAAAACGCTCGGCTACTAAGAACGAAAGCGTTTCGCAAGTAATGCCTTGATTATGAAAAACGAGTAGGAATTTTTGTCCAATATCACCCAAATATCGAAATTATCAAAATAAATTTGTGGTAAATTCGAGGATAATCAATTGAAAAACACCGTTTGTGTATGTACCACTGATTAAGGATTTTAAGCTGCTCCAGATAATGTCAGCAGGAACTATCAATAGCTTTTTGCGAAAAGCTTTAAATCTCTCAGACAACGTTTCTCAGCTATATTGGTGTGCTTTTTAAAATCTGCGTGAATATTCGCAAAAAGTTGTTGTTTGTACAGCTGAAGTGCTAATTGCAAATGAGTGTATATATGTTTATTAGCCAAAGAATTGAAAAATCATCACCAAAACTTGATGTGAGCGTTCTAGATCTGGTGGACATTCCTAGCAAAAATTTTGGATTGTTACCGTTTTTCGGGGGCTGTTCTCATCAATATTTATATAATTTACTGGCATTTTAATTATTTCATGAAATGTCTGCTACAAAGCGTCTTGTTTGTTCCAGAAGAATACCAATTCCTATCAGAAGAGCCGACTGACGATTCACGCCTCATTCTAAGTTTGTGTGGGTTAAGAGGAACTTAATCTTGACAATAGAAGCACATAGTTGCATATCATCAAAGGCTAGGACTTCTTGATTTAAAGTTTCTGTCTATGTTATCGCGGCTACTCAGAAAGCGAAAGGATCCAATAATGGACAGAGGATCGTATTCTGAGTTAAGCCAAACCGACGGATCCATTCAAGGCGTTGAACTGGAGGTCAGCATTTCGCCATTAGCAGAATCTCCAGCTGATGAATCATCCACAAGCAACAGGGATCACGAAAGACGTACCGACTATGTTCTGGTGTACGAGACTTGCAAAGAGAAAGATGAAAAGGACGAAGAATCCAAGAAGGAGGCAGAGGCTCTGGCACAATCACGGAGATCTTTTGAAAGACGCCTTCAAAAGAAAGGTTTGATCCTTCAACATGAAACTGTCATTGCAGAGAAGGTAACGTTCTCTTTACATTTATTTATTTTCTCAGATACTTGATTCAATGTAGTTTGGCAAAGTTCCACCAAAGATCTTGAAAGCTTTTGTACCACACTTAAGCTTTAATAAGTAGCTTTTAAAATCAGATGGTGAACCCCACATACTGGACATAATTTTTTTTTGTAACTAAGGTACTCCTTACTTGAAATTCTGGAAAAGAGTTTGCATAAAAATGAATTTCTTGATACTAATGTTTTCATTTTCATATTTAACGGATATTGACTTGTGTCTACTTGTAATTAAATGCGCTTTGAGTTGAACTGAGTCGTTCCAATCATACAACAAATACAGTCAAACACGAACTAAATGGTCCATCTTATTCTGCGAAAAACTTTGGACATAATTTTTTTTATAACTAAGGTACTCCTTACTTGAAATTCTGGAAAAGAGTTTGCATAAAAATGAATTTCTTGATACTAATGTTTTCATTTTCATATTTAACGGATATTGACTTGTGTCTACTTGTAATTAAATGCGCTTTGAGTTGAACTGAGTCGTTCCAATCATACAACAAATACAGTCAAACACGAACTAAATGGTCCATCTTCTTCTACGAAAAACTTTGGACTATCTCTTTCAGTACATTGTGACCTTACAAAATGAGAAGAGGATAAAACTTCTAGCATGTTACTCCTAGTAAATAAAACTATCCCAGATTTTGTTATATTGGTCGAAGTTTTCATTTGTGTTCTATATCAGTAAAAACAATCATGGATTCGGTAGCAATGGCGAAACCTACTAAGTCCCTCTCTACTCAACAGAAAACTTTACAGTCTGTTCGATCCGCTTAGTACACTGCACTTTTCCGCGGTCACTCAGAAGAAGGGACTATTAGACAGTGAAATGTGTTTATTGTTGGCCATCGTAATCGAAAATTGCTAATTTTGTTTATTCAGCCAAAATTATCCCTAGGAACAAAAGAATTGTTTAAAAGTGTGATCGTATAAACAAAACTTGTGGATATATATTGTATTCGAAATACAAGGCGTTGTTTATTTATTCAAATGAGGCTTTTGCCATGCAAGTTGTGTCGGCTTTACACACTTACACCTTTATCGACGCGTTTCTGAATATCAGAGCTCAACTATCGGAAATTTCTTCACGTGGGAACACAATATGGAGTTTGGGAATCTCGACGACAAATTTACCATCCCGAGGAGCTGCAAAATTGAATGTTCGCTGAATAAAATGTTGGCTATCAGAGATCTAAAAACAAATAACAACACAAAGGCAGACTCACGATCTGAGAAAACCGTTTTGTAATTACGGTAATTGATTCCAAATGGTCACCTTTTCATGTCACTTTTCATATTTGTCATCACGAGCGCATAACTGTAGATCTATTTTTAAAACACGAACTGAATTTTGCTTTTGGCTCGACAATGAAAACCTGAAGATCTCGTGACGTTATTTTCTATTGTAAATAGAGTAATTAAAGTAAAAAGGATCAAAATGGATATTGTATTCAAAATTGTGTTACTCGAGATAAAGGCAGTGTTCACACTTGGTGCCCGGGCACCGTGCCCGGGTTCTATTCTACGCCGGGCACCAATGTGAACACACCTTTTTTCTCGTGCCAGAATTCGGGCACGTTGCCCGATACCTTGTACTCGGGCACTGACACTGAGTCCTTGTGTGAACACATTTTTCGTTGGTGCCCTGGCACTTTACCCACAAACCACTTGTTTTCGTACCCACAATTCCTTGTCCCACTCGAGATTTCAATAGTGAGCGTGTGCTCTGTTTATTGAATGTGAACATATCTTCAGACTGGGTACCGTGTGTCTGAACACAGCGCCATTTTGTGCCGGTGCCCGGGTACTAGTGCCCGGGCACCAAGTGTGAACACTGCCAAAGTTTTAGCCAGTCCAGATGCATAAATTTAACCTCTTTTTATTGTGATAGCGTGCCCGACCCGCTGTCTAGACTTAGACGTTCAAAAACATTTGCGGATAGTATGCATGCGTGGGCGCATTAAGTTTTGTTTATACGGTTCGGCTCAGCACGAATCCAATACAATCGTGCTATTTTTAAGGCTTAGAGAAGATGTTTTCTGATCAGTTTGTATCTAGACTATTCCGAGAGAGAGGAAGGAAAGCAAACAAAGGCTTACCTCAGCAGCACCAAAACAACCGTGTATTAGAGATCACTTCTCAGACACGCGTGATAAGCAAAGCTTAAGGATCGGTCATCTATCGCGTGGGGCAAGGGAGGAGGGAGTTGGAGAATTTTGGTCGTGTCAGTAAGAAATTTACTTGAACCCAGAAATATTCTCATGACCCCCCCCCCTCCCCTCCCCCCCCTTATTGGCAGCTAATTGGCAGTCAATTTTCTGTAGTCCTCCCTTAGTGTTCTATTAGCGGCGATTGGTCCCCCCTTCACTCCCCCTGAAAACCACGTGTTCCCTTCAAAATTCTCCTCCCTCATTTACCCCCGAGGCAACAAAACATGAAACATACCGCTTTCATTTTTCAATTAATATGTAGATGTTGATACGCTCTCTCACAAAAGTTTCATTAAGTTGGCTATCTTCTTAATTCCGATGTGGAGTCCATTTGATGCCCTCTTCAATTTCAATTTAGGAACCTGAAGTACAACGCCATTTTGTCTTGATCCACGCCCCTTGGGAACTATTAGCCAGCCGCGCCGAAGATATGAAATTGAAGGTACCTCTCCAGCCCAGTGATGTGGAGTTTACCTCATGGCCTCAATCTTTCTGTGGACGTGATCGATTAGAGAAAATGGCCAGCTGGAATCCCTTGATCATTCATGATGCCACGGTTAGAGAAAAAGCTGATAATTTTATGGGTCGTTTCGATAAAGAGCATCTGACAACGTACATGAATCATGAAGACAAGGAAATGTTCTTTCCCACCGTGGATAGAATGCACATTGTCTATCAGATACTGCAGAACACCCGATTTGCACAAGATCCACACTGCCTTGGACTGAAGAGGCTTGTCTTGGATGGAGCCTACATCGCACACTATCCATTGCACGAAGGTACAGAAAAACTAGGCGATGGGGATTTTCCAGTCAATGATCGGCAACGCTTGAAGAGAGATTGGGCTCGACTGGGCCGATGTTTCAAGTACCAACCCTACGATGCCATTAAGGATTACTTTGGTCACGAAATTGGCCTGTACTTCGCCTGGCTTGGATTTTACTCCGCGATGCTGATTCCACTCGCAATCGTTGCTTTGATCGTGTTCTTGTACGGCATAATAACAACAGGCTCCCACGCCCCTGTACAAGACATATGTGATGAAAGGAACGACGGTGTTTGGTACATGTGTCCATTGTGCGATCGGCAGTGCAGTTACTGGAATTTGGCT